TTGCAAGCGATTCGGTTATCAATGTCATGTGTGCCAGCAGTTTAAAAGTAATGCCCTCTCATCGCTAAGAATACACTTGCGAACACACACTGGCGTTAAGCCATTCCAATGCGGATACTGTTCAAAATGCTTTACTCAACAAACACAATACAACAGACATTTGAAAATCCACAAGTAATTATAAACGGATAGCAGAAACCATACTACACTAGCATCAAGACTCAACAAGACAAGATACATTGAATTAGATTTCTGTTATCAAACTTCAATAAATAGTCGGACAAAACTACCCATTTTGAATCTATGTCATTTACCCATTTTTTGATGAAATAAATAAACTTGAAAGTTTTCTTTAAACATGAATATTTTCTTATTGCAAAATAGGTTTGTTTTAATTGTTTCTATAATCCAGATCCGAGATATGTACAAAAGATATTCTCTAAAATTATTTAATGTCATCAACGCCGTTACATGGATTACAGCGAGTCTATGTTCTGGGACATAAAACTGAATGGCATGAATTTTTAGTTTGACATTCTTATTATTATCGCTTTCTATATTAGATAATTCAAGTTTGCGTTATTTGAAAAGGCGTTTCATTTTAAGAAGTTTTTTTTCGGTAAACTCGAGGACGAGTATGACATGGTATTCAATATTGGTTTTAATGAATCGTTTTCGATTTAGATGAATCAATGTGAAATATTAAAGAATAATAGAAAATAATGAATGAAAAAATGTGATTCCGCTTTGTTTGGCGAGATATTTTGTTCAATTTCTTATTGAATATTGATGTCAGCTCATGTAGATTTGTTCCTGGAAACTACAGTTGATATTCTTGTAAGGTCTCTTCGTCATTTTATTAAACTTTGCGCTGCATTTTTACATCAAAAATCTTTGAAATGGATGTTGTCCATTTGTTACCAAGGCGTTTCTTCAATTCGTCAACTTGTTCTTGACTTCTGACTGTAAATCCATAGCTGATCAACTGGAACTTGTTCATAAAGCGACGTATATCATCAACCGGAAATACTACACCGAAAATGTTGAGTTCCGTCAACAGTGGTAGTGCAATAACGACTTCGGCCAAAGTTTTTTCATTGATGTTGGTGGCACTTGAGCGCAATGTGAATTTCGTGATAGATTGGTGCTGTTGGAGAAAACTAATGGCGCGATGATTCCACATTATTACACCCAAGTCTAGACCCAAGTTCAGTGTGAATTCTTCAATTTGATCGAATTTGAGTTTGTCGGGTATTGGAAGCATCCTACTGGAGCCAAATTTGTCGTAAACGACTTCGAATATCTTAACCGTCTTGAATCAAACGTCCACCTTAAAACGACCAATTCCATGCGATGAAATATGGAGCACAAGTCGTTCCAATTGTGTCAGGTGTTTGCTTGCAACATGAAGATAATCCGGTGTACATCTGTGTAGATTTAGTGATAAATTGCGCAACTGTGGATTGAAACGGATGGTTTCCAATTCGGCATTAGTCATAAAATTAATTGTGAAATCTTCCAGGTTGGGGTACTTTTGATAGACGTTTTTGACGCTGTCCAAGCGATTGTAGCAAAACTCCAAACGACGCATTTCTGGAAACCATTGGTTGAAGTCATAGCTGTCCACGAACGTTCGTTCGTTCGTTCGTAGAATATTTTTTGGTCTTTTTGTTCGTTCGTTCCTTCGTAGAATTGTATTGCGTTCGTTCGTTCGTTCGTAGAAACTGAAATGTTCAGATTGTTCGTTCGTTGTTCGTACGAACAACGAACAACGAACACGTTCGTTCGTTCGTAATTTATGAAAATTTATTTTCTCAAAATAAACAAATATTATTTAAATGTAAATTGGAAAAACCTTAAATCGATTTTTCCCGCTTTTCCGATGGGAAATTGTGAAAAATAAGCAAAATATTGACTCTCGTACGAAATTTTTTTTTCTCACTTTTTTTGTGCATTATACCCAGTCTCCGAGAGTTTCATATAAGGTTGCCATGTAACTGCAGAAAGTCAGTCGAAAATATTGAAAACATTTTTTTTCGTTTTTTCGACCGTCTTTGTGCTGCTCTTGAAGACTCGGTATAGTGCACAAAAATATCGAAAACATTTTTTTCACTTTTTTCTTGCATTATACCCAGTCTGAGAGAGTTTCATATAAGCTTGCCATGTAGCAGCACAAAGACGGTCGAAAAGACGAAATTTTTTTTTTTCAATATATCGACTGTCTTTCTGCTGTCACATGGCAACATTATATTAAACTCTCGGAGACTGGGTATAATACACAAAAAAAGTGATTTTTTTTTTCTTACGGGAGTCAATTTTGCTTATTTTCACGATTTCTCATCGGAAAAACGGGAAAAAAAGATTTAAGGTTTTTCCAATTTACATTTAGTATCACAATATACGTTTATTTTGAGAAAATAAATTTTCATAAATTACAAACGAACGAACGTGTTCGTTGTTCGTACGAACAACGAACGAACAATCTGAACATTTCATTTTCTACGAACGAACGAACGAACGCAATACGATTCTACGAACGAACGAACGAACAAAAAGACCAAAAAATATTCTACGAACGAACGAACGGTTCGTTCGTTAGTGTTCGTGGACAGCTATGCCTTCATAACTTGAATCTGGGAACTATAAGACATGTTTTCTCAAGTGGCCATCAAGATATGCCTCGAAATTCAAAAAATGTTCCACCCTACTCTATATATACATCAAATAAATGTGTAGGCAAAACAATAAATAACATCAAAAATGTATCATTTTGTACTTGATATATGTAATTTATTACAATTCAGCGTATTGGATTTGGGTACAAAAGTCTATAGAATACTTTTCTATAGCAATATATATCGCGACGATATTTAAAAAGCGTCGCTTCAATGATAAATAAATGTTGCCGCATGACAAAGCAAGAGTGTGTCAATGTTCACCAACACAATCCTTAACGCATACACAAAGATTCTGCGGTGTCGCATCACAGCGCACACGAATATACTTCTATAACACATTGCTATAGAATAATATTCTATAGATGTTTGTATACAAAACCGATACGCTGCTTTTTAATCTACGCATAATATCAACGTTTTGTTGACATTCAACAGAATGTTTTATTTACGTCGCTAAAAGCAATACCTGCGTCAAAAATGTATATTTGGAAGAATTTTTTGATGGTTCATTTCAGTCTTCGTTCAGACTACTGAGAGTCAACATTTTTTGTCGGTAATTTTTAATCAATTTTTTCTCTATTTTCGTGTAAAGTAACTCATAATTGGAAAGTAATAGTTAAATCGTGTAACTAAAGTGTTCAAATTACAATAATTTGAAAGGTGCAATGGCACAAAAATCCTCAATTATGTGTGAATTTGGCTGCTTTAAAAAGAGTTTTTAGGGTGTTTATGAGGCTGATAGAACAATAAATTGAAATATAAACTTTGAAACTAGAAAAACATCTAAAAGAGTTAAACTATAATATGCATTGCATAAATATTGTGGTAGAATTTTTAAAATTATCGAAAAGATGAGTTGTTGACGAACAATATCCAAAAAAGTGAAACAATCGGGTTTGAACGCTCTTGACCGAATGAAGTATACCCCGAAAAAAATGCTGTGATATTTTATCAAGCTTTATCACTTGCATTCATATTAACAAAGAACCTAAACAATACATAAACCTGTTTTATGATAAAATTAATCACAAGCGAAAGCCATTAAAGAGAAAACGAAAACACCGGTACATCATTAAGTAAATCGAAGTCTATTTTTATAGCATATTATACCGTGATTTATTGAGGCTTCCATGCACAACGAAAGTGCTTTAGAAAGGCAACAATAATAATTGAAGTATTCCTATTTTATGTGTGAATTAAAAATGGTATACCAATTTAATGTGCATTGAATGAAAAATAGCTACACATACAGCTACGAAACAAATGTTCGAAAGGGTATTTTTGGAATAATTTTTACGAAAATTTTACTATTTTGATCTCAAACATTGGAACATTTGTATAGCAGCTGCTTTTTTTTTAATTTACAATTTAAATCAATTTATTTTGCAGATATTACTTTTGAGATTCAGCACTGTGTCGAAATAATTGAAGGTCATAACAATGCAAAGTAAGATGGACGGTGTATTCACTCATTCGGATGTTTCCAAACTAGAAAATTATTGGTATCGGTGTATTTCCAGCTTTGAACCATGTCAACTTTCAATCGTACAGAGCTGTTCGATTCAGCCACCAGTATGGGCTGCAACTGCTTTTCAAAACCTACAAACATCGTCGGCAGATGCCAATGCTACCAAACTACTTACTGCGTGGTTTATTTACATTGCTCGAGACACCCAAATGTCCCAAATACAGATCGGATGGGATGCATCAGAGCGAAACAGCTACTACCACGACGACAACGCATCAGCTACGCACAGATTTGAAAAAACGGTTCCGTTTTTGACATCAATTGACTTAAATGACACCTTTTCTGGCGTTACTGCCAACGTAGAGAACGATTTAAAAAAATTGGTGAAACATTTGCCATGCTCATCCGATTCACGTGTTCGACACGCTATATGTTCTGCAAACGGTTTGGGCAGCAATCAACCTTGGGCATTGGCTGTATCTCTAATCGACAGGCAAGACGCAGTTTCATTAGAAAATACTGACGCATTGTGCGCCCACGGCAATTTGTTGACACTTCAAATCAACGAACATAACGGTACATTTCGCTGGTTCTATGACAGTAATAAGATATCAGAAGTGGAGGTCAACCGCATTTCATCGCGTCTGTTGGTTTTGCTTGAATCCGCCCACAGCAGAGATCAAGCACAAAAAAGTGTTAGTAAACTGAATTTGTTACCAAACGCTGAGCGTGAACTTCTACTCAATGTGTGGAACCAAAACGATAAACCATATCCAACAAGCGATTGCTTTCACCAAATGTTCGAGGAACAAGTGAAACGCGATAAATCAGCTATCGCTGTGGTGCACGAAGAAGAACAGATTAGCTACGGTGCTCTTAATGAACAGGCAAATCGATTGGCACATCACTTGATCGCAAAGGGCGTTAAACCAGATGATTGTATTGCTCTTTGTGTCAAGCGTAGCACGAAAATGATCGTAGCTATATTGGGCATCTCAAAAGCTGGCGGTGCTTATGTTCCTCTTGATCCTGTTTACTCGAGTCAACGACTAATGGTAATTGTTCAGGATGCCAAGCCGTTCTGTCTATTGGTTGATGAAAGTGGTAAAAAGGCACTTGGAGACCATCAAGTACCAATGGTAAATTTGGATGAAGAATTGCCTGTCGGCCTTTCGATCAATAATCCTGACCCAGTTGAACTGGGACTCACTCCATCCCATCTGGCTTATGTGATTTACACCTCCGGTTCGACCGGTACACCAAAAGGAGTGATGGTAGAGCATCAACATGTGACAAACTACCTTCATTGGTTTGGTGAGGTGATTACAGCTGAAGATTTTGAGCATACATTATTTTCCACTTCTGTTGGTTTTGATGTGTCTGTTTGGGAATGTTTTGCGCCATTAACCGTTGGAAAGACGATACATATCGTGGAGGATGCACTTGCGATTTCGACACAAATATCCTCGAACATCACACTGCTCAATACTGTACCATCTGCCGTTACTGCAATTCTAAATGCAGAAACTCTACCATCTTCAGTGCATGCTCTCGTTATATCCGGCGAACCCTTACACACAAGTTTAATCAATCGCATCTTTAAGTGTACCCAAGTCCAGAAAATATATAATCTTTATGGATCGACGGAATCGACTTATGCAACTTGGCACATGTATAAGCCAGGCGATGCCGCAATCGAAACAATAGGTCGGCTTACTGCCAACTCTCGCATTTATTTGCTGGATGCAAATGGCGAACCGGCTCCATTGGGATCTGAAGGTGAGGTGTATATTGGCGGTGCTGTTATTGGTCGCGGTTATCTCAACCGACCTGAACTTACCGCCGAACGTTTCCTACGCGATCCATTCAGTGAAAAATCGGGAGCACGTATGTATCGTACAGGCGATCGTGCACGTTATTTACCTGATGGAAATCTAGTATATATGGGTCGGATAGATCAACAGGTGAAAATTCGCGGTTTTCGAATTGAGCCTGGTGAAATCGAAGCGCGCTTAGTCGAACATCCACTGGTTCGAGAAGCGGTTGTTTTGTTATGGAAAAGCCATCCTGATACCGATGCCCGACTAGTTGCATATGTGGTTGCTGATCCGATTAAATCACTCGCTCAGAATTTACGCAATTATCTTTCATTTTCATTGCCTGATTACATGGTACCGGCCGCTTATGTGCGTTTGTCGACCATGCCAATCACAACGAACGGCAAGCTAGACCGTAGAGCACTGCCCGAACCAGACGATGACGCATTTGCTCGACAGATGTATGAGGCTCCATACGGTGAAATGGAAGAAAAACTAGCCACTCTCTGGAGTGAATTGCTGGGAATTGAACGAGTAAGCCGACACGACAACTTCTTTGAACTAGGTGGCCATTCGCTCTTGATTGTCCGGATGTTGGCAGAATTGCGTCAAGCTGGCCTGAACACTAGCGTTCGAGAGATATTTGATGCACCATCTTTGGTTGAACTGGCTAAAACCCTTGGCCATCACAAGTCGATCACCGTTCCGCCCAATCTTATAACCGCTGATTGCACGACCATTACTCCAAACAAGTTGCCGCTCATCAGTCTTTCTCAGGCAGAAATCGATGCAATAGTTAAACAGATTCCGGGTGGTGTTGCAAATATTCAAGATATTTATGGGCTGGGTCCACTTCAGCATGGAATCGTATTCCGTCATTTAATGGCCAAACATGGTGACCCATATTTGCTAGGTACACATTTACACTTTAAAAACCGATTGGCGCTTGAAAGATATTCAGATGCCATGCAACAGGTGATTAATAGACACGATGCTTTACGGACTGCATTTTTCTGGGACGGCCTCAATGAACCGGTGCAGGTCGTATTGCGTCACGCTTCTTTGAAGCTCACCGAAGTCACACTAAATGATACCAATAAGTCGGCACTAGAACAGTTGAACGACCGCTTTAACGCAAGTAACTTCCGTCTAGACTTGAAGCAAGCACCTCTATTGCGTTTGGTAGCCGCGCCAACGTCTGAAGGAGACTGGGTGGCTCTGCAACTGATGCATCATTTAATTATTGATCATGTCACTCTAGAAACACTACATTCAGAGGCCAAAATTATTATGAATGACTGCGTCCATCAGTTGGCAACACCCATACCATTCCGGAATCTAGTTGCTCAATCAAATCTTGGAATTAGTCCAGCCGAACATACTGAATTCTTCAAAGAAATGCTTGCCGACATTGACACTCCGACTCTGGCTTTTGGTCTGAATGATATTTACCACGAAGCTATTGCTCATTTTGATGAAGTTTACCTAAAGCTTTCACAAGAACTTAATAATCAGTTACGAATGCAAGCACGAAATTTGCGAGTTAGCTTGGCCAGCTTGTGCCATTTGGCTTGGGCTCAAGTACTTTCTCGAGTTAGTGGACGTGATACCGTGGTTTTTGGAACTTTATTAATTGGCCGTTTACAGGAAGGAGATGGAAATGGTAGTGCAATGGGGATGTGGATTAACATGCTACCATTGCGTCTGGACATCGATGACACACCAATTGAAACTGCTGTACGTCACACACATGCTCGATTAACCGCTTTAGTAGTTCACGAACATGCATCGCAAGTGTTGGCGGAACGCTGCAGTGGTGTGCCAGCCAACATACCTCTTTTCAATACGTTACTTAATTACCGGTATAGTCACGATACCGAGCAGTTATCTACAAATGACGTCACTGTGCTACGCGAGATAGAACAGACAAACTACCCAATATATCTGGCGGTGGACGACTACACTCACTCGCTGAGTCTAACTGTGCAAGTGGTGTTGCCAATATCAGGCGCACGTATCTGTGCTTATATGCAACAGACTCTGGTATCACTGGTCAACGCATTGGCACACACACCACAGCAACCTGTACGAACATTGACTGTGATTCCACCGGAAGAGCGTGAGATGTTATTGCATGGCTGGAACGAATCGACAGTCGATTATCCATCAATTCGTTATCTTCATCAGTTTTTTGAAGAGCAAGTGGAATGCAATGGACAAGCAATTGCCGTTGAGAGTGATGGAAGCACTTTGACCTATGCTGAACTCAATGCCGAAGCAAATCAATTGGCACATTACTTAATTGCAAAAGGAATCAAACCAGACGATCGTATTGCCCTTTGCGCCAAGCGTAGCCTAAAATTACTAATAGCTATGCTGGGTATCCTGAAAGCCGGCGGTGCCTTTGTCCCACTTGACCCGGTCCACTCGAGTCCACGTTTGAAACATATATTGAAAGATGCTGAACCGTTGTGTCTATTGGCGGATTACGCTGGTCGGGAAGCCCTAGGAGATCATCAAGTACCAATGGTAAATTTGGATGAAGCATTGCCTGCTGGCCTTTCGGTCGACAATCCCAACCCGGACAAACTGAGACTCACTCCATCACATTTGGCATATTTGATTTATACCTCCGGTTCGACTGGTACATCAAATGGTGTAATGATTGAACATAGGAATGCAGCAAATTTTCTTTGTTGGTGCAAAGAAGTATTCACAGCCGAAGACTTGGATCATACATTGTTTTCAACTTCTGTTGGTTTTGATTTGTCGATTTTTGAATGTTTCGCTCCGCTGTCGGTGGGAAAGACGATACATATCGTACCCGATGCTCTCAATATGACACAAAAACTGTCTAAAATCACTCTGCTCAATACTGTACCTTCTGTAGTGAGTACGATACTAAATGCAGGAATCATACCACCTTCACTCCGCGCTCTCAACACTGCAGGCGAACCGTTAAATTCCAACTTAATAGATCGCATTTTTACACATACGCAAATTGAAAAACTATCAAATCTCTATGGTCCATCTGAAACGACCACTTATTCAACATGGCATCAGTATAAACGAGGTGATGCTGCAATTGAAACGATTGGGCGTCCCATTGCCAACACTCGCATTTATCTACTAGACGCAAAAGGTGAAGTGGTTCCATTAGGAGCCACAGGAGAGGTGTATATTGGTGGGGCTGGTGTGGCACGTGGCTACTTCAAACGGCCCAAAATTACCGCCGAACGTTTTCTGCCGGATCCATTCAGTGATTCGGGGGCACGCATGTATCGCACCGGTGACTTGGCGTGCTATCGACCTGATGGTAGTCTCGTCTTTTTAGGACGCATTGATCAGCAGATAAAAATTCGTGGTTTTCGAATGGAGCCCGGTGAAATTGAAGCCCGGTTACTTGAACATGCTGTAGTGCGCGAAGCAGTTGTACAATCATGCCGTGAAACACCTGATTCTGAAGCTCGTTTAATTGCATATGTGGTTGCTGATCCCGACGCATCGTTGAATCAGACCTTACGCGCTTATTTGGCATCTTTACTGCCTGATTATATGGTGCCGGCGGCTTATGTTTGTCTATCATCCTTACCACTTACACCAACCGGCAAGTTGGATCGACGTGCACTACCAGCTCCAGACGATGAAGCATTTGCTCGTCAATCGTATGAACCTCCAAAAGGTGAAATGGAAGAAAAAATTGCCAAACTCTGGAGTAAACTGCTAGGTATTGACCGCATTAGTCGACATGACAATTTCTTCGAATTGGGCGGACATTCGCTTCAAGTTATGCAATTCATAAATCAAGCCAAAAAGCTCTATGGTGTACATGTTGACGTTCGGGATCTATTTTCATTTCCAATCCTCAAAAATTTTGCAAACAAAATAACAAACTCAGCCGACCGATCGTATTCTGATTCAGCCATTCCAGTTCGTCACTCTGGTGATAAAACACCTCTATTTTTGTTACCAGACGGCTACGGAGATATTTCTTATACTTTTGAGCTAGCACGTGAGATTGAAAAAAGTATTCCCGTTTACGTTTTACCATGGTTGTCGCCAGAGGAAGAACAACCGTCGTCCATTGAGGAAATGGCCAATGCAATGATTCCACTAATCAAGAAAGCACGTCCCAATGGTCCTTGTGGCCTTGCTGGCTACTCTGCTGGGGGTATTCTAGCCCATGAAATAGCAAAACAACTCATAGGCAGTGGCTATCCTGTTTCATTCTTGGGCTTAATCGATACCAATTCAATTCTAAAAATGTGCAAATTCAATGAAACGGAAAGCTTTTTAAAGTTTTTAGAACATAAGTATCCGTCTATTAAAACGTCAAATTGGTGGGTCCGCGTCAGTGAATTACCTCCCAATGAAGCCATTGAAGAAGTAAAGAAGAACAAAGTCGATTTAAATAATGCCGATATCGATTGGGAAGCTTTGTTGTCAAAACAACAAATCCATTACCATAGCATTTGCGAAGAGTACAAGATTGAATCACTTCCGATTAAAGTTAGCTTATTCAAGGCATCACAATTATTGGATGGCGCTGAGAAACACAGTGAAGCATTTTATAATCTAACAAAACTTGGCTGGGAAAATTACTATATTACCACAGATTTTCACGTGATACCAGTTAGCGGTGATCATTTTACAATGATGAAAGATACAGATAATAGACGTTTATTGGGACGAAAAATTACTGAAGCACTGCTTTCTAACCAGTAAATTTTGCTCCGAATTTTATGTAATATCAACAAAGTCTCCTTTGACACTACAAATAAAATGTCTTACATCCGTAAGATGAACTTTTCCGCACTGTGATCCACAACATGCATTTATTACAAATCTTTTACTCAAAGAATTCACGAGAAAACTGAATCTGACATTAGTTTTTCGATACAAATAATTTTCGAAGCACTTTTCATACAAAAACTACTACAAATGAGAATTTTTGTATCGCAGTCACACCTATATGATATCGTAATCATGTGAAAATTTGCAGAGGTTATTTTTTTCACAAAAAGTCAACATTCTGAAAGTTTGAAGAAATTTCAACGCATATTAAGGGTACTTCCCATACAAAATTTTGTTTTTGAGCGAAAAATCCAAAATTTTGTTCGGAAGGTACTCCTAATATGCGTTGAAATGTCTTCAAACTTTCGGAATGGAATTTTTGTGTGATAAAAATAACCTGTGCAAAGTTTCAGCTTATTACGATATCATACAGGCATGGCTTTCATACAAAAATCCAATTTTTTTGAAATTTTTGTATGAAAAGTGTGTCGAAATATAATTGTATCGCAAAACTAGCGTCATATTCGGTTTTCTCGTACCCAAATACCCCCCTATACATATGTTTGAGTGTTTAAGAATACATTAAATATCACTTTTGGAGGAAAAATTGAATTTTTTCCATGGATGCTCATGGGCATCACACCAGACATGACACTTCACTGTATCAACCAAAGTCACTCAAAATCTAATGGTTTCTATTCCTCGGCACCCCCAATCATCCTGTGAAGTCAGATTTTGAATTACTTTTCTTCTTTGAAAGTTATCGTGTTAACAAATTTTTGCGTACAGCGTACAGCGTACAGGGTACCACGCACATACATTCGGACATCGAAAAAATGCTAGATTCGTGTTTCCTGGCTCCTAAAACACCCAGAAAACATGTTTTTTGAGGATGTCAATTTTTCGACCGATTCCAATACTTTACCTTACACACTAGGTGTGTGCGGAAAAGTAAAACAACTTATAGGAAATTTAGAATGTAAATTATAGTGAATACAAAAAATGTTGAAATATAAAATGGAATTTATTATGGGTTTTCATTAAAGGAAGAAATAAATCAGTTCCTTCTAGTTCTTTTCTTTATTTCACTAGAAAAATTATTTCTTTCTTAATTTTTTTCACAAAATTGTGAGATTTTGACCAGGATTAGAGTACACGTAAAAAATTGTAATTATTTTGTTTTAAGTTTTACATTTTTCAACATTTTAACAAGAGAAAATAATGAAAATTTGTGAGATGAGTAAATACAATTCATTAAGAGAAAAACTGTCTTCTTTTCGGAATAAAATTCGTTTATGCTGGTTCTGGAAACTGAAATTTGCGCATTTGTTTGTCTTTCGTTTAAATTTTACGCTTCATTTTCACGTCCAAATCATCAAGTGATACAGTCCATTCTTCCCCAAGGCGCTCCTTCAACTGGTCGGCTTCATAGTGGTAGGTGACGGTAAGTCCGTATTCGATCAACTGGCAGTTATCCACAAAGCTTAGTATGTCGTCAACCGAAAATACTATGCCAAAAATGTTGAGTTCCTTCAACAGTGGTAGTGCTTCAACGATATCGATTAACGTCTGTTCATTGATATTGGTGTTGTCAATCGAGTGCAGTGTAAATTTGACAATGGATTGGTTTTGATGTAGGAAGTCAGTGAATAAATGGCTCCAAAAGTACTCTTTCATGTCCAGTGTGAATTCTTCAATCTGATCAAATGCGAGTTCTATAGGTCCGTCCACAACTCCGTCATTCTTTGCAATTACCATCAAACCTGGCCAAATCGCCCGAATAAACATGGAGCCCAAGACGTTCCAAATGTGGCAAACATTTGCTTACAATTCGAAAATAATTTGATGCAGCAGCCGAATCGTAGTTTGCAAATCCTGAATTAATATCTCTTTGTCACCATATTTTGTTGGATAAGATGCGCTGGGATAGCGGCATGTAATGCGAAAAGAGAACTTTTCCGTGCGATACTTATGTTCAAAGACAAAATCAGCGATTGGCTTCAATTGCTTTGCTTGTTGGTGTGCATAATGTTCAACAAGTCACCTATGGTTAAATAGCCGAAGATTCTTTCTAAACAATCAAAATTGATGTCGGTTATCTTTGGTCCGTTTGTAGATGAAGTTTCATTGGCTTGGATTTCTGCCATTTTTTATGATTTACGGACCTGAGAATGAGAGAAGAGTAGACACAATTTAAGTACTTTCTAAGCGTAGCTTGTCAATTTTTACAGAAATTTGGACCAAATTCAGTGATTTTTACCTCTTCGTATATTTACAGTTTTTGAATGCTTGCAGAATGAATTGGAAACGTGTCTGAAGGTTTTATTTCTTGATATGATCGATTTCTTCTGATTTGTACACTTTGCTTCATTGATTACATAAACCATTTAACTAAAAAAAAAACTCTGACTGTATTGACAGTAAGTTGGATACTTTTACTACTTAAATTCATCATCGTAAAGTTGATCCTCTTTTATTTGATTCTAATCTAGATTCATTTGGGCAAATAAATTCACATCAGAAAATGTCCAGAAAATTTTATATTTCAAATCCAAAGTAAATGGTAAAAATTATCCTCTTAAAAAAGAATTATAATTTCATTGTTCAAAAAGCCAATCGAATTTCGTTTTCGAAATCTGAAGTTCGCAAGGTCTGGCAAGGAATTCGAATGTGTCAGCGGCAACACGCCAATCACTCACATTCCGAACATTAGCTGTGTCAACAGTTTGTGTGATTGTATGTGTTCATTATTCCTTGAATCAGCATATTTTACTGCGCAACAGCAACGTATTCAACAAACGAAATAATATTTTTATTCATTCACTCCGCCATATTGGTTGAGCACACAACAAGAATTTCACAAATTAATTTTGCGTTGAAAACATAGATTGAACTTGAATTTTGTGTTGCCATTGAAATTATTTCGAGGTGAGTTAATGTTGTGATAGATTTTCTTGTATTCTTTTGACAATATTTGTTTTTGTTAATAAATTAAATTATTTTAATTGACAGTACGTGAATTATTTGTCGCAATGCATGTTCGTCGAGACAGACAACCACCCGATAAAAACTGGCCGAAGAAAATGCCATCAGAAGCAAGTAAATTGCTATTAACTGAAGCCGAAATAAAAGCAGAGCCAACGATCAAAGAAGAACCAGAAGATGCAGGTAACAAAATCGTGGTGCCGACATCAGAATTGGCCGACAACAGACCCCGCAATGCAATTGGCGCTGACCAAATCGACCAGATAATCGATTTTGATGGTGTTGAGGTTAAACCAGAGGTGAAAACGGAAAATAACGAAAAGAAATCTGAAGATGGTTCTAGTGGTCACCAGCAAAGTGGTGCGCCAAAGCGATCAGTGGATAAGGATGAACAAAAGGCGACTACATCTAAGGGTAAAGCAACCACAGGCAACGATGGCTGCAAAGGCAAAAGGTACAATGACAAAAAGGACCAAGCTGCCGCGAAGCCGATTGGGAAAAAGCACGAATGTCCTATGTGCGAGTATTCTTCTTCGACAAAATCCAATTTGAAAAGACATATTGTCACACATACTGGTGAGAAGCCGTTCTCATGCACCTTGTGTCCAAAACGATTCAATAGAAAACATCGTCTTCAATATCACATGAAAACGCACGTCAACGAATTTCTGTTCAGTTGTTCAAATTGTTTGCAAGGATTCTCCACCAGCAATGAACAGATGGAACACGAAGCCGATTGCAAAGTTAAACGTTACGAGTGTTTTTCATGCAAGAAATACTCTACTCTGCACAAACACTGTTTGAAGCGGCATATGCAAATGCACAATGATGAAAGACTATTCCAATGCAATGATTGCTCGAAGGAATTCAAATGGGCCGAGAGTTTGAAACGGCACACCATGCGAATTCACATCAACCCACGACCATTGAAATTCAAATGTTCAATTTTCTTCAGAAACTTCAATCAACAAGCGGAAAGGGGTGATCATGAAGGACATTGCAAGCGACGTGGTTATCAATGTCATGTGTGCCAGCAGTTTAAAAGTAATGACCTCTCATCGCTAAGAATACACTTGCGAACTCACACTGGCGTTAAGCCATTCCAATGCGGATACTGCTCAAAATGCTTTACTCAACAAGCACATTACAATGTCCATATGAAAATTCCACAAGTAATTATCAACGGATAGTATAAACCATACTACACTAGCATCAAGACTCAACAAGACAAGATACATTGAATTCGACTTCTGTTATCAAACTTCAATAAATAGTCAAACAAAACGACCCATTTTGAATGTATTATGTCATTTACCCATTTTTCGATGAATAAAATTAACTTGAAAGTTTTCTTTAAACATGAATATTCTTTTATTGCAAGATAGGTTTGTTTCAATTGTTTCTATAATTCAGATCTTAGATAAGTACAAAAGTTAATTCTTTAAAATTATTTAATGTCATCAACGCCGTTACATGGATTACAGCGAGTCTATGTTCTGGGACATAAAACTGAATGGCATGAATTTTTAGTTTGACATTCTTATTATTATCGCTTCCTATATTAGATAATTCAGATTTGGGTCAGTCTAAAAGTCATTTTACGCAAAGATTTTTCGGAGACCTCGATGTTCTTTTCAAATGAGAAACTTTATTTTTGTATGAAAAATGTGGTTGCGTGGTATTAAATGTTTTGTTTTGATGAATAGTTTTTGATTCAGACGAATCGATGTGAAATATTGAAGAATTACAGAAAATAATGAATAAATTGGATTCCGCTTTGTGTGACGAGATATTTTGTTCAATATTTTATTTTTTGAGGAACTATTTCATCCTCTTGCTGCTCGGTTCCTGGAGCCTTGTTTTCATTCGATGTTTCTGTTGACATTCCGCTTTATTTTCACTTCAATATCAATTGAATCTTCAGCCGATGTGATCCAATCGTTGCCAAGACGCTTTTTCAAATGGTCGACTTCATAGCGATATCTGACTGTAAATCCGTAGCTGAACAACTGGAAGCTATGCACAAAACGAACTATGTCGTCAACCGGAAATATTACACCGGAAATGTTGAGTTCCTTCAATTGAGTTGATGCTTCAACGATGCCGATCAAAATTTGTTCATTGACGTTGTTGTCATGTGTGAATAATGTAAATTTTTTGATAGATTGATGTTTTTGCAGAAAGTTAATGATTTGATGATGCCAAACGCTATTGCCCAAATTTAATATGAATTCTTCGAGTTGATCAAAAGTAAGCTCAATGGATCCAAACATCACTCCAACGTTTTTATAAAATATTTCCAATACCTTGACTGTTTTAAAGTTTACGTTAAACTTGTCCAAATCACTCAAACCAACATGAAGTCTAAGACGTTCCAATTGTGTCAAATATTTGCTTGAGGCTCGAATATATTTTGGAACTTTCTGATGAAGTGATAAATTGCGCAACTGCGGATTGATGCGAATGGTTTCAAACATGTTCGTATACAAATCTCTACCAGTATCAATCACGAGATGCTCCAAATTGTGGTACTTTTGATAAGCGTATTTGACTTTGCCCAAGTAAACGTTGACCAAATGCAAATAGCGCATTGCCGGAAAAAAATCATTGAATCTGGTTATTTTTTTGCTTAACTTACAGTTAACAAATCTAATATTTTCCACGTTTAAGAATGGTTTCTGCAGCGACCATCCAAAGGCGTACTTGAAAATCATGTGAAACGCAATGTCGGTCAATGCTGAACAGTACTCGTTGGCATGACGAAGCACTTTGGGTGGGGCTCGTCGCATCACTCTCGGGTACGACAATTTCATCTTTGAAATCTTGTGACCAAAGCACCGTAGCAAACGTAATGCAGTTTGCAAGTCTTGGATGAATATCTCCTCACCGACTTCTTTTGCCGGATACAATTCATTTGGATAAGTGCACATAATACGAAATGTTAACCTTTTTCCACGAATTTTGCGACCGAAGATGTAATCGGCAGCGGGTCTTAATTTCGTGTTGGCATGTGCAATGTTCACCAAGTCATCAATGCTTGAGAAAGCGAAAATCCTCTGCAAACAATCCAAGCCCATGTCGGTGAGCTTAGTGCCGGTGGTGGATGACGTGTTTTCCGCCATTGTGATGAATCACGGACCTGGGTATGAAAAAAGAGTACAAAAAATATCAAATAACTTTTTATGTCTTTAATTTGTAGAGAGTTAAACATTTTGGTGTCTATGAAAACATCAACTTGAACTAAATTCAATGAAATTAAAATGAAAAGCCCTTTTTACCCTTTTGTTTAGTTTGTGGAAAAGCTGGAAACGTGTCTTTGTGTGTTTTTCCTTGAAATGACTGATTGCTTCTGATTTTCATACAGTAATTTGTAGATCACACGTACACAATACCAATAAAGCAATGCTGACTGTGGTGACCGTAAAATATACGCGTTCTTTGCTTTGTGTTGGTGACTCTAACTCACAAGGCGTATGTATCAACATCAGCGTGAAGTTGATCGTTTCTTATTTGTTCTCATTTGAATTTATTTGATACTAAAAAATTTGGTCATACAAAAAATCTATCTGGTTTATGTTTAAAAACCTTTAAAAAATAATTGAAAATAATTTGTTTATTAAAATTGAGTTTTTTCTCAATTTAATTCTGCCAAATCAAAGCTATCGTCTTCAAATTGATTTCAACGAAATCTGAAGTTGCCTGGCAAAGTATTCGATTGTGTCAGCGACAACACTCCAAACAGTTTTCGAACGTGTGATTGTCTGTGTGTTTGACACTATTATTGACGACCAGCATATTCTGCGCGTTAACAACGTTGACTACAGAAGAAATAATATTTTAATTCATTCACTCAGCCATCTTGTTTCTTTGGCAAGCACACACTCAGAACTACAAAATTTGATACTGAGAAATCACAAATCATCTGCTGCAACCAAATTCATTTTGAGGTAAGCTAATACGGTACTAGTAACACCAATATTAAATTTTACCACTTTTTTCTAAATTTTGAGTTCAAAAATGTTTGTTGTAGAATTTTAAGAAAATCTATCTTTTCTGTGTTTCTCGTTGTATTCGATTCAGAGAGACGATGAATCCATTTCGATGCAATGGCGTTAGTGGTGGTAAGGTTGGCCACAAGTGCAAATGCAAGCCAAAGTGTTCACAAATTAAGGTCAAGGAAGAAGTCACCGTCAAAGAAGAGCCGAATGATATGATTCAGTACTCGCCACCACCGTCGCCAATTGGAACGGGTGCCACCATCAAATTGGAGAGCGAGAGTGACGACGACTCTTTGCACAACGATATCAAGGATGAAATCAAATGTAAAGATGAATGCGCGAAGAAGGAATGTGATACAGCACACGATGATGGTGAAAGTGGAATCGATGATAATGGTCCAGTTGACGCTAATGCTGACAATCCAAACTGCAATGATATGCCGAGCACATCAAATAGAAGTGGAAAGAAACCAAAAGGTGGAAAAAAAAGTGCGCAATGGCAAAACATCAAAGAAATCACAGGTCGCACCAAAGTTAAAGAAGCACAAGTGTAATGTATGCAACTTTTTGGCATCGCATAAGTCCATACTCACACGGCACATGCGAGTACACACCGGCGAGAGGCCATTTGCTTGTGAAATATGTGCAAAAGCTTTTAATCACAAGTCTAATCTGAACCGTCATACAAAAGTCCATGCAGCCAAACTACCATTCTGTTGTTCGAAGTGCCGAATTGGCTTTACAGAAGAAATCGAAAAGATTAACCACAAAAATAAATGCAAACGGCCACAATACCAATGCCATTTATGTAAAAGCACAACTCAGGTTTTGTCACATCTGAGAGAACACATGCGAATCCATAATGGTGTTAAGCCATTCAAATGCCATGTTTGCGCCAAAACATTTACTCAGAAACATCATCTTAATATGCATTCACGATCCCATGTTGAACAACTGCCATTCGACTGCCGGAAATGTGGGCAGAGATTTGGTGAAGAAACCCAGGAGAAATCGCATGAAGATCGTTGCACTGGCCGGCGATACGACTGCTATCTATGCCCGTTCAAATGCTATCACAAAGGCCACTTGCAGTTGCACATGCGATCAAAGCACACTGGTGAAAAACCATTTTCATGTGGCACTTGTGGAAAGTCATTCGGTCAAAGAAGTGAAGTTAAGCGACATTTGACAACTCAGAACAAAAAACAACTGATTCGTTGTTCAAAATGCTGGAAGAAGTTTTCAGAACAAGGCGACAAGGATGCACATGAACAACGATGCAAACGTCGCTCCTATCAGTGCTATTTATGCAAATGTTCAATGCGAGATTCATTCCAATTGAAGACCCATGCTCGTGTTCACCATACTGGTGAACGACCATTTTCATGCGACTTGTGTGCAGCCCGTTTTTCACAACAATGCCACGCTTATGGGCACATGAAAAACGTAACTCATAACTAACGGTCATGCAAAATAATTGAAAAAATACGTATGAAAACAACTTTCGTTAACCTAAATAGAAAAAAACCAATAAAATGTCAAGATTAGTCTTCTTTTATTTCAATGTCAAACAATTATCTTTCTTAGAAATGGTTTTGAAATTAACCTACATTTATAGTAATTATGATCATGCGTTATGCAAGCTTAAGTTAGTTTATGATAAGACAAAATGAAATGTTTTGTACTATTTTTTTTTGCATTATTGAATTAGATTCACCATGACATATTTACGATTTTGGTTTGGATTCACTAAAGCATTCAAATCCATATCTTAAAATCTACGCGTTTTTGATATTGCCCTTGTGTTTGCTCGTATCGCGCGTCGTACTGTAACATTTCCTCTAGACAGAAATTCGATGGAAATATGCGGTTCCAAGTTCCTGCCAAAATGATATCACCATACTAAATTATCTCAAAAACTTTGAGACATATTCCAAGCAAGCAAAGTGAATTTTTGTTATATTTTGACATAAACAGTTGGTTCTCTTGTTGGATGACCTTCTCAAATCCCAAGAAATTTGAATTCGAAGATAATATTTTGTTTTGGCATGAATTGTTTCTTTTATTTTGAGCATATAACTTACTTTTTTTATTTGACCAATCTAGGTCGAAAATAATTCAGAAGCTAAGGTTATATCTCTATCTAACAAAGATATTGACGATTCACCGGAATTTTTTTCAAGTTTCACTTTCGGAAGCTTTAGGTGTGGATACTCCAAACTTATAGAAAATAAATGTCCGGACATGCACTCCAGTAATTCATTTCTGGTAAAAGTAAGTTCAAAGTCGGTTAACTGAACTTTTGCTATTGGAACTTAGGCCTCTGTGAATAGTTGTTTGGATGTTTTGATAAAAAATGTTTCCTTCTGAAAAATATCGTCTGCTTCCGATAAGATACACCAAGCTTTTTGAAAACACTGTTTAAATAACAGCCGATAACAGCAAAGGAATTAAAATATATATAAAATTTCGGCTTTTATCATTTCTACAATTTAGAGCTGTAAATTCACTATGTCTATTGTTTATGACTTATTAAATCAAGTTCAGTCATAAAAACTGTGCATTTCACTTATTGAAAATTCAAAAATCGAGTTTTAAAAAATAGTTGAACGGTGGTGTGGTGTTGACGAAAATAAAAACATTTTCCTTCTCAAACATTTAACCAATTTTTAGAAATAATTCAAATAATTTATTCAGATGAAAATGAGGCCAAATATAATTTCGAACCTTTTGCTGTTTGCATTAATGAGTATACAATAAAATAACTAAAATTTTCAATTTTCTCCATTACATTCGATTCTCTTTTTTCTTCAATAATATTTCAGTGCCGATTTTCGGTCAAATGTTCTATCCGAAGCATAAATCGACCAAAAAATATTATCTAATTACATTTAAGGTGAATTGAGTAGAAAATATGAATTGAATAAACTTAATACTATAATTGTTTGATATCAAAAAATTTAGGCAAATTGGTTCAAATCTTTATCACATTGCCGTTCCATTGGCATGAATTTGGTTAGCATTACATCAAAAGAAGAAAACGATCGAATCGCGAAGCTAATTGTAGACGCAGGTAATATATCATGTAAAAATTTTGAATCGTGTTATAGCAAAAGACTAGAGTTCAGATTTTCGGACATGAAAAACGTGTTAAAATGAGCTACAGTTCACAGAACTTTAGACATTAATATATAAAAAGAAATTGCCAGAAAAGCAGTGTAGTGTTTTTTCTGTTTCTTTGAAAATAGGTCATGAAACTGCCAATTTCTGGACATCAGGAGTAAGAATAGATGAAGTATTGTGGGAGTGGGTGGGCAGCGGTAAACAAATTACTTTTAACAATTGGACACCTGGACAACCAGACAATCAGAATCAACCATACAACACCAACAAAGTAGAAACTTGTGTGAATGTTATTGGTAAAAACTCGTACGGTGATTTTCAAGCTCAGAAATGGAATGATGAGAATTGTTTTACGGAAATGTATTTTATTTGTGAACAAGATTTGATTGAATATGAATATTGTACAAATTGAAAGAAAAGAATATTATGATAGAAATAAATTGACTGGTGAACACGATTTAAAACGTTTGTGTCATTTTAACATAATTCTTCAAACTATTATGATCATAGCATTCAGCATTAGGGTGGAACATTTTTGGCACAATTTGGTGGCCACTTGGGAAAACATGTCTTATAGTCCCCAGATTCAAGATATAAAGGAATTTTCAACTTGCGACCCAATCACCATGAAAACTTGTGAATCTTATTTTCTGACGAAAATAAGTAATATCACTAAGTTTGATGAAATTTCAACCAAAACTAAAGGTGCCTCCCAAACAATGGGAGGAAATGACAGCAAATTTTTAAAATTGGCGCGCTGTTTAGTTTCGATTTGAGTTGTAAAATTACATTGACGTCCCCTTTGAAATTCGATGCGCCACCGTCGGCTCAAAGAGACTTGAAGTCTTCACATCCGCTCATTGCTCCCAAACCAAATTTTCAATTTTTTGTTTTTGAGATAAAAAATAAATTTTTGAATTTTAATTTTTTCAAATATAAGTCGATTTAAAGACAGGTAGATTTATATAAAATTCCATCCTTGAAAGAGTGCTATATGCAATAAAATATAATTTTTTAAATCAAATTTCTTCATTTTAATGTTTAAATTGTTTTATTATTTTTATTATTTAATTGTTTATATGATGTGTTTTATGAATGTTATGAAATTATTATGTTTTATCGTATTAGAATTTCTAATAATTAGAACCAATTGGCTTGATCAAGTCTCCCGCACCAGTTCCAACAGTACTGCTTAATAATCGATTAGCTCCAAAAATTCAACTATATGCTTGCGTCTGTCAACATTTTTGAATGTTATGATTAGACCATTCTCCGAATTGAATTCCCCAAGACTGGAACACCTGGAATACGCATTTCCGCTTTGTACTTCATGGTTTTGAAATTCGAAACGAAATTGATATGTATTGCTCGCATCGATGATGATTGGAGTCGGTAGCTTGAAATATTTTCCCTCATTCTTAGGAAACTCCTTTGTCTCTTCGAATAGAATTTTTCCGGTTTCAGTAGCAAATGATTGGCCTTCTATCTCGATAATGCTGAATTTGGCGCTTGAATTATTTTTCCATGATCTCTCAAAACACACACCTCCAAGCAACGTAGTTTTATTTGATGTAATGAAAACAATTTCACGACTTTGAATTAACATAGTTTCTTTTATTGAGGGGCAACATTGCCAAATTTTGCTTTCATCCCAGTAAAATCGCGGATTTTGATTGAATTTCTTCGAAACAGTTCTCTTCAACGATATCGAACGCATTATATCGCCCATTTCATCACTCGTAAATATCCCTTCACATTTGAGTGTGACTTCCGAAAATTCTTGAATTGTCATTGTTCCAAATCGAATCAAATACAAACAATCGCCCAATTGGTCTCGTATATTTAAGTGAATATTTTCATCTATGCCGCTTTGTTGGCATGCATTCTTTGCCCAAGCCAAACATCGATCGAATATAATCGATTCTCTGCGAGGAATGTCCAATTTCAAAATTTCACTTAACACTTGTTGACTGCAAGTGAGAAATTCATCCGAATTTAGTACTTTATCACTATTCGAAACGACGTATCCACCGCAAAATTGCTTCAATTCTAGAAGTATACTACTAATTCTTGATTCTCATGTAAACTGGCCAATTCATAGGCCCACCAAATGTCGATCGCTTTAAATTTGTCAATCTGAAATTTGGTACATGCATTCATGCAATCAGGGACATCGTATTTGTTGGCCAAATCCATAATTTCCGGTATATTTTTCATTTTGAATGTGACAGTGCCGTGGTAAAAACACTTCAAAAATTCTTCGAACGCCTCCGGTGATGAGTCGATCATTCGATGATTCTTCCGAGACTAGTGTGCGTGGGCTATGCCATAGACGAAAATGTGGTCGGATATTTCTTTGTCACAGATACCATGCAAAATAAACATGTCTTAAAAATAACTAAAACAATTGATGATGCCAATTCTTGACAGCAGGTAGAAATGGATGCTTTCAGTCTTTCTTGGAACCAACGTGTAAATAATGTATTTCGATTGCTTTCGTATTCAATAAAGCAAACAAACAGAAAAGAACAAAATGGAACCTATTGTTTAAATTCCACCTGTGGGTGGAATGAACTTTGCGCTTTGTCCTTTTCCATAGTTTACAAATCACTTTTTAGTCACCGGTATCTGTTTCTCACTATAGTTAAAATTAGTTTATTTACAAACATCGACACAGATGTACGTTCTTTTAAATTTTCAACAATTTTTAACCTTTGAACTAATCGATGTAAAATTATTCAGTTAAGATTCGCCGAATTGAGTAAACTATTTACATTTAGTTATAAACATACCAACGTTATCATCAATTTTTCAAAATATTTGGTTTTGGGTGAGTTTTGTTTTAAATTAATCATTAACAACGACATAGTCATCAAAAACTATATTCAAGATGAGTGGGGCCAAGCGGCAAAATATGGGCGAAAAAGACAAAAACCCAACTGAAAAGTTGAAAACCGAGTTTTATGCCTTGAATAACGATTGTATTCTGAAGATCCTTGATTGGTTGTCAATCAAAGAAGTGGCCAAAATAAAAATGACCTGTAAGCGATTTTATTCGCTTGCCAACGAACATTTTCGTAAGACATATAAAAATAGCAGCGTCACATTTGCCAAAGGCTCTGAAAGGCTTAAATTTATAGTTCAAAGGAAATATTTTCAATCGTTTCAATTTCTCATGCCACAAATATACTGTTCACATGCACCAATTGAGACTTTTAAGATAATTGGACAGAAAATGAATCAAAATTTAAAATCGATAACTTTCCACGTCCGCGATCGTGATCCTGGCTTTGGATATGAAATGAACGCCACACATTGTGACCACTCAAAGGATGCCCTGCAAAATGTCGAAATCGTTATATTATTTGATTGCTCGTCAATTCATAATTTATTGAAGCATTGTATAAATTTGGAATACTTGACACTTGTTAGTATAAAATCTAACGAACTTTCACACACATATCCAACACTCAAGCAATTACGCTGGGTGTCAGTGGATTTTCCGGTTGAGCTGAAGGAATTCGTTGTAAGAAATCAAAATTTAAAAACATTTACTGCACAAAGTCCAAGCAAAGCAACAAACTGGCTTCTTGAAACCGCTATTAAATTAGATGATTTGGTGTTGGAAATAACAACGACGGAGAACTTCATGAATATGAACCAAATTATCGAAAATGTATATTTACTTCATAGAAATCATCAGATTAAAAGATTACACTTGAAAATTGAAGACTTAAGTATCCAATTGGACTATTTGCTTCATCCAAAGACAGAGATTTCGTTTTTGGAAGGTCTTCACTGTAATGTAGTTGATCGAGATAGAAAATCCTTTGATATAGTTGATCGTATGCCGAATCTAAAATATCTATATTTTTGCAACTTTTACCATAGAAGTGATCCGCAGTTCGAAGTGTTAGCACAGAAAATGACAGAACTGGTTGAATTTCACACATATGATGCTAGATCAATCGATGATCTCATTCCATTTGTGCGACATTCACCAAAACTTAAAATTATTTCTTTGAAAGACCAAATTTGGAATGATGTAAAAACGACGCTGCAATCATTGGATAAAGAACGTGCCAAACTGAAGAATGCATCCAAAATAACCATTTTTATGGATGAAACACATTATTTGCAAATGAAATCTATTTCATCAACGAACAGTTGTGGTTTGGTGGAGATCAAGCGCGCCGATTCTTACCCACTCTCCAAACATCCGTTGCAGTCATAGTTTCCGACACTTTAAGAATATTAAGTTACGATAAAGCTGTAAGGAGAGTCATAGCAATGAGAACATTTTGAGTGCATTCGTGTCATACGATAAATGGCATCGAAAAATTTGTTCAGTACAGATAAAATCAATGATATGTTTATTGATTGGGACATAAATTCATTAATCAAAATGTGAAAATATAAAATGTTCAAATTAATTTTATAATAATAAATGTTGTATTTGTTCAAAAAATATTGTGTTGGCCTTATTACTTTTCCATAGACCTAGTGTGGAAAAGTTATTCTTTATGGTTTAGTAATATTCAGAAAGGAAGATTTGTAGATAAACAATAAAAGAAATAAATGGAAAGCAACTGGAACCTGTTGTTCGAAGACAAATCAATACTGGTCTATCCCACATCTTCTTGCGGACATCCAGTAGAGTCCACAAATGTGTAGAAATAAGGTATACACTGTAAATGGCTTTTGCGCCAGAGCTCGGACATTTTTTGAAAAATTCAAATTTTGATGAATTTGAAGCAATTTGATTAAAAATTCACAACGTATTTCACAGGAGTTTCTTTTTGGCACAACCGAATCTCATAATAGTTTTGCGATACAAATCATTTTCGACACACTTTTCATACAAAAGTCAAAAAAAATTTTTTTTATGGAAAGTACTTCCCAATGTGCATAGAAATTTCTTCAAACTTTCAGAATATTTTTTTTTCTAAAAAAATAACTTGTGCAAAGTTTCATGTCATTACAACATTAAACAGGCTTGGCTTCTATACAAGAATCCATATAGGACACATGCTACATAGCAAGTAACATTATTTTATGATCTCACCTACAGAGTATCCTGATTTGCTGCTGCTCAGCATATAGCTGAGAGCTGAGAAATGCTGAGCTCGTGCGGCTAACACATACGAAACGGATGCACGATACATATTCCCCTTTCGCTTCGTATGTGCTGCCGTTGACGCTATTGCCGGTACAACGGTTACACACTATACCAGCGAACATACGAAGTGAAAGGGGAATATGCATCGTGCATCCGTTTCGTATGCGTTAGACGTACACTTTCAGAATATATGAAAGACTGAGAGCAAAAACAGCACGTCGCATCTCATCTCTTGCTTTCACTTACGTAAGCAAAATAACGAGGGATGCGACGTGATGTTTTTCTCGCAGCTT